AATCAACCAGCTGGGAGACAGAGATGCTGGGTGCAGAGTTAGGAAGCCGGTACTCAGCCGCCAAGGTTGGGGTCTCCCGCCAAGGAGCTGTGTGCAGGGGTTTGCTAGAAAGCCCTTGAAGGAAGGGAGAGGCCAGCTGTGGTTGCCAGAAAGTGAGCTGAGCAGGGAGACTGGCAATTGGAGCGCCTGAAATCACCCCTGCGAAAGAACAGGGGCGCGCTGCCATGGGCGACCCGAGGCAGGTGGACTCTGAGAGCGGGTGGGCAAAGGGGCCCGTGGCTGTGCACACAGGGTGCTCCCACAGCGCCACAAATAGCCTGTGATGGTTGTATTGGGTTATCCCTGTAAACTCTTGTTTGTGCAAACATTCCGATAAACAAAAAAAAACGATAGAAAAGGAGGGACCAATCTTCAGTGTCTTGCTGTCAGATCCCATAGAGACGTTGTTCACTTGACTTTCCGACTGGGGATGCCAGCTTCTCCACTGAGCTACTTACCAGCCAGCCTGACCCTGGCTCCTGCTCTGCCTGGAGACACCTGTGCTTTCCAATGCCACGCAGACATGGGCCCACTGGACTCCCAGGACTTAGGGCGCCGGCCCAGCTTTGTCATTAGCTTGTCCTTAAGCAAGCCACTCTGAGCTATTCTTTTCTCCGCAGTTAAAAAAGGAAGGATCGTTGGGCTAATTTGTTGAAGTGACAGAAATCATGAGATGAGATGAAAACACCTGCGATGTTCAAATTCAAGGGCAGTAGTGACTTAATGATGCACGCCCCACCTCAGCTCATTCAACCCCAAGGGTGGTTTTGACACCCCCGCCTCGCTCTGTGGTTGATCTTGGCCTGCCTGGTGAGCTGAAAGCCTTTCCCAGACACCCACGGGATGGTCTTGGAGCAGGGAGGCCTCAGGCTGTGGTTCCCAACCACAGCAGCACCCCCACCCCACTGAGCACCTGGAGACCTCGGGAAAATACAAGGCCCTGTTCAGTTGCTAGTTTCGAGCCAATGTGATCAAGTCCCTACAGACAGACATATTCACTCTTACCTCAGGTTGCAGCTTTGCTTCACGTTGTGGTGATTTTTACAGTTATTAGAATATAGGAACATTAGCTTAACCGACCCCATGTCACTTCTGTTTTTACTCACACAGTTACTGTCTACCAGAAGAATAAAATAGGCTCAAGGTGTAATATATGTCCCCTGCCCCATTTCTTGTGCTTCAGCCTCCTCTGCTCCCTGGAGCTGAGCTAGCTCTTTACACTGACTGCCCACTGCTGTCTGGCCCTGATGCAGGAAGCCCCTGGTGGCCCTTGGAGGGAGTGAATCAGGCAGACTCGGGGTCCTTTTCATTGAGGACCACCACAGTGAGACCTGATGGAGTCTATTAGCAGGTACAGACTGTCCCCACTTGATGACCACTGGATTTGGGGCATGAGGATCCTTTAGGCATCTGGTGTGAATCCAGCCTCCCCTCTTCCCCGCCCCCAATGTCCCTCCGCCCCGAGAAAGAAAAAACCCCAAACAAAAATAACGTGTTAGTCAAGGTGGACTAGAGAAACAAATCCATAGACAGTCATGTATGTGTAAGACACAACTGTATATCAAGAAGTAATTACCCCAGCTCAGTCCAGATCAAGTTCATAAATTGGATATTAGCCTATAATTTCCATATTATCCCATGAATTCCTTTTCAGACTGAGTTAGTTAATTGTGCCAACCTGGCCGATAATCACATGTGGGGTTAATTGAAAGGCGGAGGGATAAAAGGGTGGTGAGCCTCGCCTTTTTAGTTCCCGGGTCTCTTGCTTTGTGATGGTCGCACCAGGGTGCAGCTGCCTTAGCAGTTCCCTGCTTCAGCTTGCAAGATTGACTTCATACAAGACATCCCCAAGGAGAAGCCACATGGACCTATCCCGATGCAGCCCTGGGTGCTGGAGCAGCCGTGTGGAGACCCCTGCTAGTGCTGACATGCTTATTCGTTCATTGACTCAGCTTTCCTCCTGCAGTTGGCATCATTGCCTCTGTTTTGTGAGGTGGAGGACTTTGTGGACTGGTGTTGGGTAAATGGGTTAATGTTGGACTTGTGGGCTTGGGCAGCATTGGGTTGGGATGTTTTCGTGATGCACATTTTCTTTACATAAAACTCTCTCTTATACATGAGTTGCTGTGGATTTGTTTCTCCAAAGTAGCTAGACTAATACACAGACTCACGCAGCACATGCAATGATGCCAAATGCAGGAAGATCACAGGCCAGTTGGTGGGAAGTCCTGGGGGTTCAGTGGCAGTGGAAGCATCTCCAGGGCTCTGGCTGCCATCAGCATGGCTCCATGTGGCTTGTCATAGGAAAGTGAGGCAGAGAAAGAGTGTGTCCAGCCTCCAGGGAGGAAGAGAAGAAACTCCTAGAATTCTCATGAGAAGATCAGGTCCACAGGAGGCATCAGTCAGTCTGTGACCTGATTGACAGGCTAGACTCCACACCTATAACCTATTTATCAAGTTGACATGAAATCATGTAACTACCCCAAATGACATAATAAAAACTCTCGGCTTGGCATCTCCCACTAGTAAGTGGGGGATGAGGAGGGTTCTCCTAGGGGCTGACAGCCTGAGGCTGTCAAAGACTATTAAAAAATTGCTAGAACTCATTGAAAAATTTGTCAGTGAGATCCACATACAAAAATCAATTGGATTCTTGTATAAGAAGAGGATTCTGAAAAGGAAATGAAAAGGACAATATCACTTATAATAACTACTCAAAAGATAAAATATTTAGGAATAAATCTAACCAGAGGGAAAAAAAGACACATACAAAGAGAGCAATAAAAACTTCTACCAGAAACCAAAAGAGACATATAAATGGAAAACTGCCATGCTCATGGAAAGGAAGACTTAACACAGTGAAAATGTCGATATTACCAAAAGTACTCTATAAATTCAAAGCAATTTGATCCAAGTCTTAGCACATTTTCCTCAAAGAATTGAAAAATGAATCATCAAGTTTATATGGAAAGGAAAGAAACCAAGGATAAATAAAACATTACTAATAAACAAAGACAAAGTAGATCTTTCACTCTTCCAACTTAAAAACTTATTATACGGCCCTGTTAATTAAAACAGCTTGATCCTGGTACAATGATAGATATCGATTAGAACAAGGAGCTAGAACAAAAAAGCTAGAAATAAAGCCTAGCCCCGACCGACACCTGATTTTTGATAAAGGACTAAAACACATTAAGTCAAGAAGGGATAGCCTTTTCTATGAACAGCGATGGAAAGACTGGATCTCCAGCTGCAAAAGAATGAAACAGGACCTGTTCCTCACACCGTGCACAAAAACAAGCGACTCGAGACTTAAACATAAACCCAAGAACCATAAGGCCCATCAATGAAAAAACCAGGACCAACTTAAGGGCCCTACTACAAGATGTAAACACACTACCAAGTGTGATGGAAAACATCCACACCACCCACCACACAATAGAGGACTAGAAGCTTCTAAAATTATAACATTGATATAAATTGAAAGACGTCATCTAAATGAATAACAAGACAGTTCTGCCTTCCAAATCCAGCTAGACCAGAGCATGTACACTGATACAGATTAGAGCTTTTGACACATGGAATCCCGCCCCCACCCCCTCTTCCAGAATCAGTAATGGGAGTAGGGGTACCAGGAGGGTAAGGGGAAGGTGGGGGGAGAAAGGAGGAACTGATGGGAATAATCGACGTATAATGCTCCCCAGCCCCCACCCAGGGGGACGAACAATCAAAACATGGGTGAAGGGAGACAGCAGATGGTGTAAGATATGCAAATAATAATAAAATTTATCAAAGTGTTCACGAGGATGGGAGGATGAGGGACGGAGGGGAAAAATTGAGGAGCTGATACCAAGGGCTCATATAGAAAGGAAATGTTTTGAAAAGGATGATGGCAACATATGTATAAACATGCTTGACACAAAGGATGTATGGATTGTTATAAGAACTGTAAGAACCCCAATAAAATGATTTTAAAAAGAATAAAAAGAGAACCCACAGATTGGGGGGAGAATCTTCGGCAGTGAGATATCAGATAAAAGGTTAACTTCAAAAATCTATAGAAAATGACAACACCTTAATAAGAAAAACCACAATCCAATAAAAAAAGAAAGGGGACAAGACATGACTAGATAATTTACAAAAGATGACATCTAAGTGGTCAAAAATCATGTGAAGAAATGATTGCGATTATTAGCTATCAGAGAACTAAAAATTAAAACAATGGTGAGATACCATATCACACAGACACTCTTAGCAAAATCAAAAACAAAAACAAAACAAACAGAAAATAACAAATGCTGGAGAAGCTATGGAGAGATTAGAAGGCTCATACATTGCTGGTGGGATTGTAGAATTGTACAACCACAATGAAAAGCAGTATGGCACGTCCTTCAATGAATGTGAATACAAATACCATATGATCCTGCAGGCTCTCTACTTGGTAGATAGCCTAAAGAAATAAGGAACAAAACGCGAGCGTGTATGTGCACAGCCATGGCTAGTGCAGCAACTTCTGTCACAGCGGAAAATGGAAACAATCCAAACAAGTCCATCTGTGAAGGAATGGATGAAGAAACTGGTACATACATGCAGTAGAATGTTATGCATCCTTGAAAAACAACGATGAGTCTGTCAGATACTTGGTGACGTGGATAAAGTCGGAGCACCTGAGGCTCAGCAAAATTAGTCACGCTCATAAAGACAGACATTTCATGGAACCATTGTTAAAGAGGGGGGAAATGATAAGAAAAAATTGTTTTCACACCAAAGGAAAGGATTTTGAAGACTTTGATGTGGTCGGAGGCAGAGGGAAGAGGGACAGGGAGGGCGGAGGGAAGGAGAGCGGGTGGGCGGGAGAACAAGAAGAAGGAATCACTGGGGGGTTACGGGTGGGTGGGGAGTTATGGAGCACTGTCACTGTTTTGGTGAGATGGGCTGTGCCACTCTATACATTCCACGAATAAAGGAAAACAATAAAATTGAAATAATAAAAACCTCTTTTTTTTTTTTAAGAAAGGGAAAGAGAAGGGCCCCAGCCTTCAAAACCCTCTGTGATTCTTACCCATCGGATCTCTACGCCGGTCTGGATGGCTGTAAAAGGAGGAAAAGCACAGTTGAAAGTGACGTAAATATTTTCATGACACACGAGCTAGTTTCAGACAGACAGACAAGCAAACAAACTTCTCTCCATCACGGTGGACATGCTATCACTGCAGGGGTTCCTGCAAATGCTGGAGGGAGGAGAGATGCCCTTCCAATGCAAAGTTCTCAATTCAGTGCGTGCTCAGTCCTCTCAGGCAGTTCTTGCAAAGGGCAGAGTTTAACCCCCTTGCAAGGATTATTGTAGACATCTCTGAGTTGCTGTGAAGATTTTAGCCCCCAACCCCCACGCCGGTGGTGTAGGGGCTAGGACTTGGCCTGCGATCCCCGTGGTTGGTAGTTAGAAACTCTCAGCAGCTCTGCCGTCGAAAGATTGGGTTTTTCCCACTCCTGTAAGCAATCACCATCTTAAACCCACAGCGAGTCGCTGGGAGTCAGCATGGACTCATGGCAGTGAGTTAGCCGTGCAGGCAAGGAGCCCTGGTGCTTGGATGGATAACTGCAAGGTTGGTGGTTTAAAACCCACGAGCCATTTCTCAGCAGAAAGATGAGGCTGTCTGCTCCCATAAAGATTTATAACCTCTTATAACTCTATATAAGGTTGACACGAGTGAGAACCAACTCGACTGCAGTGGCTTGGTTATTTTATTTCATTTTAATGAGACACGGGGTGGGCCAGCGGGTTGCTCAAGGCAACAATTGGTGCCTGGCGGCTGGGGTGCCGTTTGTGTCTCTAGCACCCGGCCTATGCCTGACATAGCCTGTGAAAGAACGAATCTTGGAAAGGAAGAATGACCTCTGACCTCCATGGACATTGCTTAATGCCGGCCTTTAGCATCTCTAGCAGGACAGACAGGTTGCCCCCTCCATCCTTCTATCCCTTTAGTTTCATATCCCACATTTTTACTAGAGTTATTTTTCTAAGAGGCACATTTGAGCAATTACCTTCATCCCTATATTGCATCCTTCTTCAAGCAATGGACTGCTAACCTAAAGGTCAGAGGTTCCAACCCACCAGCCACTGCTCGGGAGAAAGACAAGATTTTCTGCTCCCGTAAAGATGTATAGCCTCAGAAGCCCTGCATACGGTTGCTATGAGTTGGAATTGACTCAATGGCAGTGGTTTTTTGTTTGTTTGAACCTTGGAAGGCTTCCCATGGCCCACGGTGCAGGAAAACTCCCTTCAAAGACTACCTTGTCTGCCTCACCTTTCATCACTCCCTACAAACCCCATTCTCTGGTTCCCGATGGTGCAATCCAACTTCCATTCCTTGATGATGCAATGCCATTTCAATCCTCCTCTGTCCACGATGTTCCTGGGGCCTCACCTGTCACAGCCCTGCCAGCTGGCCTGCTTGTCTACATAGGATTGCAATGCTCATGGGAAGCACTGAGTCCCCTGGGGAACTTTCTGTGACTCTGGTGTCCTTAGTTCTTTCTTGCGTTCACACCATGTTCTGATATGGATAGCACAAATGAGGGAGCAGGAGCCCTGGTGGTGTCGTGGTTACACGTTGGGTTGCGTTGCTGTGGTCAGCAGTTCAAAACGACCAGCAGCTCCACGGGAGAGAGGCTGGGCTTTCTACTCCTCTCAACAGCTAGTCTCAGAAGCCCACTGGGGTCACTCGGAGTCAACATAGACTCCCTAGCAGGGAGTTTGGTTTTTGAGGTGGGAGTGAAAAGTTGTGACTGGCTTCCTGGCTCTGGCCAGTAGAGGGCAGTGGCAACCCTCTGTCTGGGGGAGTTGCTGGGCTTCTCTGGTCTTGCGAACACCACTGTTTGGGTCTCTGCACAACTCAGGTCTAGGATGCTCTCCCTCTTCTTCACAGGGGTGTCCACTTTCCTCTTCCCATTCCTCCTTTCCCCCATACCAGCCTCACTCATGAATATTCAGTGGCTCGTTATTTCTTCATTAACTTCATGGTGTATAATGTAATAGTCATAGGTTCCTGGATTAGCTCTCGGTCAGCTGTTGGAAAGCAAGCATTCATTCTCCACTATGGGAAAATTCAGAGTTGGCCTTCAGGATCAGTGTCCCCAAATCTGACTGATCATCAGCATCTCGGGTGGGCGACGGAGACTTAACAAAACTGCTCAGCTTGGGCGTTCATGGTGGGTCAGACATGAGCGGTGTGGGAGTCCGGACTGGGCAGATTGTGCTGCTGTGACGAACAGCCCCCTGAATGGCTTACCATGGTAACAGATCTTGTTTACTGCTGAGTGGTTATCTTGGGTTAGATTGGAGCTCTCTTTTGAGTTGTCCTTGCTCCAGGACCCGCGCTGATGGAGCAGCTACCACGTGGTCCTTTGCTGGGCTTCAAAGCAGAGAGAAAGAAGGCGTGGTGAATTGTCAAGTGGCTGTTTTAAATTTTCTCTTTAGTGAAAATGTATACAACAAAATATACACTCATTCAAGGCATTGTATATGTATTGTTCATTAAAAGTGGGTTCCAGGTAATAGATGTAGAGGTTCCTCTAGTCTCAATATACCCCGTAAGTCTGGCTTGCGATAAGAAATTGCATTTGCCAAGAGCACCTTGCTTAGCTAAACGGTCATTTCATGATATCTACCTTCCCAACATGATTGCTGAAGACAGATGTGTGCATAAGAAAATGAGGTGAAGAAAGCTGATGGTGCCCGGCTATCGAGACCTATAGCGTCTGGGGACTTAAAGGCTTGAAAG